GTATTCACACACTATCAGTATGGGTGTGTGCCTTTAATTTGTACTGGTGTTTACTTACTAGAGCCAAACTTTAACTAGTTTTGGATCCTGTGATATTTAAGCACCCTTAGCAGATGCCCAAAGGGAGCAAGAGAATGCCTGCGATGTTTCAAATGTAAATTAGATTTATTTAAAAAAAAAAAAAGGTATCATGATAAAGAAGGAGGTCAGTGTTTGATTTCAGAGGAAGCTGTATGTGTGTGAAGAGAGAGCAACAGGGTTGATATCATATGACCTCCAAAATGAGCGATTCCCCAATCAACTTTCCAGACAGGAGGCAGCTCGGACCAAAACAGGCAGACAGGCACACTGGGTGGAATTTTCCTCACACAAAGGCATGGAAATAGATGCCTTTGCTATTTTTCAAAACAGAAAATGAGAGCTAGACAACCATGAGCGCTTAAAGCCACAACAGTATGTTTCCATTAATTGTCAACACCCTCTTTTCAGATCCTGGATGAGGTAGAGAGACGGAGAGGCATCTCAGCAGCTCTGGTCTATCCCTTCATGAGGAGTCTGATGGAGTCCCCCTTTCCTGCTCCAGGGAAGATCATCAAAGTAAAAACCTTCCTTCCCGGTGCAGGAAATGAGGTCAGAGCTACAGGCACAGGCACAACAAAACACAACTGCTTTTTGTTTACGACCGTTAGCTCAGTACACTTTGGCAAAGTGCACTCAGTAAATCAGACTCACGCTTTCTGTGATCACTCAGGTCATTGAGTTGAGGCGGCCCACCGATTCCCGACTGGAGCACGTGGACTTTGAAAGTCTGTTCAAGTGTCTCAGCGTGCGGCAAGTGATTCGCGTCTTTGCCTCGCTGCTGCTGGAGCGGAGAGTCATCTTTGTGGCTGATAAACTCAGGTAAGTGTTACAGTTAAAGAATTGGTCTGCAAAGTTGACCTGTGCAACCATTTGTGCATACTTTATATTTGTATATAAAAAATATCTCATTGGATAGGTAATTTTAGACATTTTGTTTCTTTCCCAGTAGAATTTGTTTCAAATTCTCCTGGAAATGTTTTAAAAACAACACCAAAATTTCAGACTTCAGCCTCAATACTCAGACTTCATTCTTCATTTTCTATATAGATGCATCTCTCTAGGGTAGCGGTTAACACGTTTGCCTCACGCACACAAACATGATACTGGTTTGAGACCAGACACAAAGTTCTGATGAAAAATAAGGGAGCTGCTGAAAGACGTTTTACTTATACTGTGATTATATTGGCAACTGAAATGGGAACACACTTGTGTTCTTTCAGTGTGGGCTATAACAGGCATTTTCCCTCTGTGCCTTTGCAAAAGGCTGCATATAAAAGAAAGAGTGCCTTAAACAAACAGCCGTCTGGGTACATTGAAATCTGTGGGAAAAAACAAGTCAGCTCCTGTGCTTCGTGACCTCAGCAAAAAGTGTTCCTGAGTTTATGGTCTAGTTTCAAATCTTTTTTTTATACTTATTTCCCCAGTTGTGTTAGATTTATTAATGTGGCTCAAGATGGACATGTGCATGGAGGGATAGTGGATATATTGGAAAAAGGATGGAGCTGCCAGGCAGAAGGGTAAGAGGGACAATACAGAGGAGGTTCATGGATGTAATGAAGGAGGACATGCAGATGGTTGGTGTGACAGAGAGGGATGCTAGGGACAAATCATCCACAGTAGCGACCCCTAAAGGGGAGTAGCTGAAAGGAAAAAAGTTTGGCTTAAGAGGCCCTGACAGACTGGCTTGGTTTTCCTTGCCTCCTTGCCATCTCAAATCAAAAAGTAGTTTAAGGATAGTTGGAAAGAAGCTTGCGTTCCTGAGTGCAGCGCACAACAAGAGATCACTTACATCAGCCGCGTGACCACTCAGTAAGCTGTGAATCTATATTAAATTAAATTCTCAATTTGTTCCAATCTGTGCGATGACACATCGCACTCACTCTGAAGAGGAACTTGCAGGATAAGTGCTGTTTAGTGTCCAATCTGTTGTATCTAGAAAATTTCAGGGCTGCCTTAGTCTCATGCGGCCTATTGGAATCCCTCTTCTAAACACAGAGACGCGTAATAGCAGGGTTATGCTGTGGATTTGCCAACTGAAGCCTGACAGATGCATGTGTAACAGTTTCACTCTGATGTCTGATGTTTGGTAAGTATAAGAAAAAGTCAAGCAGCAGTGGAGTTTTGATATCAGAGATGTAACGGGTCGGACTCAGTGTCCTCTTCTTACACAAAAGAGAGGGGTACTTTAAGAGCATTGGAGTCAAGGGTGGAGTGGGAGGAGATTTGAGTGGAGAAGTAATCTCTTCATGTATCAGAGCCCAGTTTAAACAAACATCAGTGGGGGCAGTGACTGCGAGGGGAAGGAATGCACTTCCTGTGTGTGCAACTCTGCCCTCTGTGATCTGTGGCTCAACTGTCACCATTTGACTTACGATGTCACGTTCACTCCCTACGTACAAGTGACCTCGCGCTCTGCGTCCCCGGAGAAAATTTGTCTGAGCTGCTCATTAGCGGAGCTGATAGCATCGAGGAGTCATAGGGTGGGAATCACAAAGTGACTCGAGACGGAGTATTATTATGATATGTTAGCAAATAGCAGTCAATGTTGATAGATCTTTGTAATATCTAGCTCAAGTGATAAACAAAGCATACTGATGGTTTCCAGAGAATAGAGTCTTATACCTTCTGGTGATCCTCAGACATTTCCAAACATCAAGTTTACATTTATAATTTTTGACAACTCTTAGGTGGATTGTCATGAAATTTTGTGAAGCTGCTCTTGTCCCCTCAGGGTTATTTGAACTTTGGTGACCAGGTGTATTTTTATTTACCACCATCTAAAGTTTAAATTTCCAGATTTCTTCTTGTTTTTCTTTTTGCACGTTTCTCACACTTACATGTTTCAGTTCATTAGACAAAGTTTAATATTAGTCAGCAATAACCAGATAAATACAAAATGCAGTTTTTAAATGATGATTGAATTTATTAATGGAAAAAAGCTATCCAAAACTACCTGACCCTATATGTAAAAGTAATTACCCTACTAACTGCTTGCGCCACCTTTGGCAGCAAGAACTGCAGTCAAGCAATTGCAATAACTGGCAATGAGTTTTACACACTGCTGTGGAGAAATTTTGGCCCACTCGTTTTTTTTGCACAATTGTTGTAATTCAGCCACATTGGAGGGATTTTGAGCATGAACGGCTTGTTTAAGGTCATACCGAAGCATGTAAATCCCAATAAAGTCCAGGTTTTGGAGTGACCACTCCAAAACCTTCGTTGGTTTTGTTTTGAGTTTTTTTGGACCCTTTCAGAGGTAAACTTGCTGGTGTGTTTTAGATTATTGTTCTGTATAAACTGAGTGTGCTTGAGCTTCAAGACACAAACTGATGGCCGGACATTCTACTTCAGGATTTTCTGGTAGAGCGCAGAATTCATGGTTCCATTAATAATGGAAAGTCGTCCAGGTCCTGAAGCAGCAAAGTGGCCCCATCAAACTACCACCACCATGTTTGACTGTTGGTATGATAATCTTTTTATGAAGTGCTGTTGGTTTTACAGCAGATGTAATGCAACTCAAGATCATCGAGGATGATCCAGAGGATTTTTTTTTGAGACAAGTCTTTGTGTTCTTTTCGGTCAGCAGTGGTTTTCACCTGGGAACTCTCTCATAGATGCCATTTTTGTCCAGTCTCTTTCTTATTGTTGAATCATGAACTCTGACCTTAACTGAAGCAAGTGAGGCCTGCAGTTCTTTAGATGTTCCTCTGGTTCTTTTGTGACCTCCTGGATGACTCGTCAATGCGTTCTTGGACTAACTTCAGTAGGACAGCCACTCCTGGGAAGGTTCATCTCTGTTCCAAGTTTTCTCCATTTGTGGATAATGGCTCTCACTGTGATTCGTTGGAAATCCCTTTTGTCTGATTTATTGCTTTTTGAGATCTTTTAGCTGCCTAAAGCATCTCTCAGTTATCAAGCCTGGATAAGGCAAGTGAAATTTAACTCAAACAAGAATGCAAAAAACTAAGAAATGACACTGTACCTAATTATTAAAAACTCCGAAATATAAACTTAAGTATAATACCCACTTCAGATTTATTCCCAAATTTAAATAACTGAGAAGCAGAAGGTCAGTTAAAATGTAAAGAAAGGAGACATAAAACGTACACAAAACAAAAATAACATACACAACGTTTAATAAGGCAGCGTTCTCGACAGATACCTCTTAATGTTTGATCTGCTCAAACCAGTCCATGTTTAATGTCTATGGTTCTATGCATGTGTATATGCAGTGCTCCTGTCTTTTGATTTCATTTTAAAACATGATCTCTGTGCAGCTTTAATGACTCATGTGATAAAAGAGCTACTCCCTCTCCGTCTCTGGCACATAATCCATAGCAGACCGTGATATATGTTTCTTTCCCCTCAAATGTATACCCAACACACGAAGGAACCGAGAGCAAAAGCTATTTTAGGCAATAGCTGCGTTCAATCAAGTCTAGTAAAAATGAACCGAGAGCTTTGCTGCTATTTCTAGAAAAGTCTGAAACACAAAAGTCTGAAAAGACAAAGTCATTCACCCTCTGATGCCTGTAAAAACTAGTTGGATGTCTAATCACAGACACTCGGCATTAGCTGTGCTGCTCTGTAATTGCTTTACTCAAGTGACCTGCAGATGTTGAATAAATTTTGTCAGTCCTGCAGGCTTATGTAAACAGTCACTGTCAGCCCTCAGGGTAGAGCTGAGAACGGTTACCAAATTAAATGTCTGGATTTATTGCTAAACATAAGCAGAGAAATACTCCTGCTGTATATTAGATTACAGATATTAGTAATATGGTGATATGATTCTGTGCAGCTGCGCATAAATATATTTAATTAAAAATAACTAACAATGCATTTTTGTGCAAATGAAAAAATGACATTAAACCTGCAAGCTTTAATGGCCAGTTTTTAGATACACCAGGCACAAATTTCTCTCCATGCACTGATAATAAACATGAGGGCAAATTCCAAATTGTACTTGTATCATTTTAATTTGATTTATCACTTTATACACTTATCAGTGTATGTCTGAAAGAGCTGCGTAAGAGTAATTGAGTGGGGAGCGAAGAAGAGAAAAGAATTTAATGAAATGTGAGAAGTCTGGCTTTTAGAGGAAAAAGTGAAAAGAGGAGGGAACTGTGAAGGGAAACAAAACAATAGCTGAAAGCCTTTCTCACAGCCACGGTGAATTAATCAAGCTCACTTTTCTGTGGTGCAGCAGGCTGTTTGTGTTTCTGCATAGAGCCATTCCTGTGTCCTCTTATAGTAAAACTACAAGATTGAAAAAAATATTAAAAAAGCACGTATGAGGCGTCGTGTTTTTGGTTTTGCACTAAATTGCCTGAAAGTGAACTGCAGCTGTGGAGCTCGCCAACATGTTCTGCAGCTGCAGATCTGCAATATTATGATCAATGTGGTGACTGTAGCGCTCGGACAGGTAGAATTATTGCTGTTGCTGTAGGCATTTTCAAATCAGCAGGTACTGCAGCGTGCTTGTTTCATTTAGTCCACGGTTGCTCTCAGACGCTTTCTCTGGCATGTTCTGCAGAGCTGGTACAAAGCCAAAACCACTCTTAGCAACTCATACACTTTCCCATGTGGTATTCAACTCATCGACGCACTGTAAATACGTGAAATGTGTTTCAGTGGAGAAAGATGTGGCTATTACATGAGTCTGACCAGCTGATTTTTACATCAGTGAGCATATGTAATGGTAGACACCTGGACACTTCCATTTGCTCTCCAGACAGCCTTGATTAAACTCGGATGTTTTTGTGGTTTTAATAAGAACATGTATGGAGTTTTCCATCAGGGGGCCATTTCTCAGTGTAAAATAGTTTGTGCTGTTTGACTGAGACCCAGTGGCTGGAGACCCTTGTGCACAGGAAGTGAGGGAAAACCATTTGTGGGGCTAAAGGAGCAAGCAGAGAACATTCTGCTAAAAGGATAAAAATACACCACTGGGAGCTTTCCCTAGCTATACAGTTCTGCATGTACTCTGTTGCGACTTCATGTGACTTCTAGGTGTTATTAGGGGCTTTGAAGGAGGCCTAACACTGAGGAGTGGTTTTGTGGATCAGCTGGCATGTGACAGCTGTGGTTTTGTCTTCTCTAGACCTGTCTGTGGAATTCGTCTTGCCAAACCATCCTAAGACTGGTTGATACAACACAGAGCTGCAAAGCATGTGATGATACAGCCTTGACTCTCTTTTTCTCGAATACTGAAATTTATCCTACTCTTCTTCTGGGCTTCACATACTAAGCCTCCCGATCCCACGTTTCCTGGAGTATCTGCCAATTTATCGTCACACACATTAAACCAGGCCCAGCAGACCCATGAGAGCTAATATGTGAGGATTAGCTCCCAAACCTCAACACACAACAGCTCCAAACAGACGTCATCTCTGTTGAACTCTCAGGATCTTTTTTTTCTCTTCTTTTCTTGAGAGTGGCATCATAAATTGAAACATAGATGTATTCCATCTAATTAAATGAGTCAAATTAATTTCTGTGGTGTAGTTTTTATTAGTAAAAAGGTATTAAACTATGGAAATTCATGTATATTTACATATGTTTACGTCAGCAAGTTTATTGACACACACTTTGTTGCTTTGGGTGTCACTGAAAGGGAAAAACAGATTTTTTGTGCTGTTGTATCTACGTTAGGGTAACTCATTTAATTTCTAACATGTTCTCAATAATGCTAAATGCTAATGTAAGCTGGACGTAGCTACTGTGATGTCACCCATGCGTTTCTGGACTTTAATCAAGGGTGGAAGTTATCAGCAAAGCAAGCTAGCAAGCATGGTTAGGCCCCAGTCACACAGGACTAGAGACCGGTTAACCACCATATGGTAATGATCAGTCACGACAAAAAAAAAACAAGTGTGTCATGGTAAAATAGACCCCCTTTTACACAGGCCTACAGAGTGGTCGGTTTGCCTAGCAACCAGTGAAGTGTGTATTCTGTCACTGGTTGGTGAATGGTTTCTGAAGGTCGCTGGGACTCGCAGAGAGGGCTATGGTACTTCAGTGAAAAACCTCCTTGCACTTACCTCGGTCACTAGCAGACTGCCCTTATTGCAGTTTGCATGGTAGATGCCAAATTGTCCGCAAACACTAGGAAACTATTTTCAAGCAAGAGTTAAACTGAATAGTGTCACGCAAACCAGAAACGGTTAGTGTCCTGAGGGTGGCCAAGGCAAACTGTTTGCAACCAAATCTACCACAAGGAGGTTTTTGGCACATCATGCTCTTTGTAACCAGTTTCACCTAGACTCAGCCAGCAGCCTGTAGCAGTCACTCACTGTCCGAGGCCTTAGAAAGCTGCATCTATAAACTTTAGAGATGCAATGCTAAGACACGGGTACTTGCTAGTTAGCGTTAACAGATATATAAAATACTACAGTTGTACTCCTCAAAACTGAAGCACTAAACTTCTTGAATGATCTGGAATGAACACATAGTAGTATTAGTCATGATATGTAATTCAAAATGGTCCAAAAGGCACCTGCAACACAAACACGGGCAAGAAGTCCAGTTCAGTGACTCAAATTTGTGAGCGAAGCCTAGCAGGAGTGCTAGAGCTATATCGCCAGAGTATGATTCAAATAGGCTGGACTGTTAACTTTAACAAAGTCCAAATGCAGTACAGTTGTTATGAAGGGGGAAACTATCCACAGAGACCAAAAATATTTTTGTACAAAGCTGTAAAATTGCTTAAGAATGCAGTTTAGTTGGGAATTTTACCACAAGCGTCTGTGACAACTTGTCTCAAGTGGACACTCTAAGAACTGCAGTTTTTTCCACCTCCGACTTGGATTATTTGTCAGTTGCTTCATTTTGATTTGTAGGGTGAAATTTCCTAATTAGCACTAGAAAGTACAGAAAGTACATCTGAGACAAAAGTACTGCTAGTTTTATACTTCTGATGGTCACAAACCAAAGAATTTTAATTCATTCAGTGGTTTTGAAAAGATTTCCTCCTCTTCCTGATCTTCCTCCCCTCAACCCCAACCGGTCACAGCAGATGACTGAGGTTTTTTCCTGTTATAAGGGAGTTTTTCCTTCCCACTATTAACAAGTGGTTGCTCAAAGAGGGTTGTTTGTTTTCTCTCTATTACTGAAAGGTGTTACCTTGACATGACTTTCTGTGATTTGGTGCTACATAAATGAAATTGAATTCAGTGGAATTTCACATTTAGAATAAAGTGGCACTGACTGACTTTGTAGCAATGTTGATGTCATGGCTAAAAAAAGCCATATAATGGCCTATAATCCTATCTGGTACCACCAATTTTGAGTGGCTAAAATCCAGCTTCTGTACTTACCTACACTGTACCAAGGAAAAAATATGGCTTTACTGTTTAAGTCAAACTGTTTTATTTTTTCCATTTTACCAATCAATGTATATAGAGGCCAAAAAGCATTTTTTCTTCTTATTTTATGACCTGCGTATGCCTGAAGCTTTAGTCTAGATCAAACGGGAATGTCCCACTCGTTCTCCAGACTTGAGTGGCAACCTCTGGTAGTGCAGAGTGTTTTCGTTGCAAGTTCATTTTCTCCCAGGAGTATGCGGTCAGGGAATGAGTGTAATTGATCCTTTTTGGTATCAGTGGTGTGCAGGGCTGTGTGTAGCCTGTGGCGAAGGTTTTCGGAGATCTGTGCCCCATCACTCCCTGTTGGAACTTGTCAAACCCAGGAGACGGGATCTGTTAGGAATTATCAAGCCCTCCTCAGGCAAATGAAAATCAGACTGGCCAAAGCAAAGCTGCAAGTGCTTCATGTTGTGAGTGAAATGTAAAAAAAAAGAAAGGTTGAATGCTGTGGTTATTGTAGCCTTTGGGTTTCTCTGATGTAATTTTATTTTACCCTGTCTAGAAAACATTTTAATCTTGTCAATTTGACTCATGGGAAGTTCAGAAAAAAAATCTCTGGCAGACATGTAGCTGGAATGGATATTGTGGAAAAAAAAGCTGTGGGAGTTTGTCAGTTTTCTCTGTATATTGCTCAGTAAAGTTTCTCTGCGATGAAACAGAAATAGGTCACATAAAAGGGAGGAATTTTTGTTTGCTGCACTGCTGTTGATGAAATGTATATATCTCAGATAACGTGCGTCATATACCATGTTTGATCCCTGGTCTCGGTCTTGAGCTATACTGATTTAGTGGTTTGTGTGTGTGTGTGTGTGTGTGTGTGAGAGAGAGAGAGTGAGAGAGAGAGAGATTGGACTCACAGTTTATTTTCACTCTCTTTGTGTACATGGACTGGACAGTATGTAGAAGACTGAGGGGAGTCTGGAGGGGGGGCGGGGTCAGCCACTGTCAACAAGCGACGGATCGTGAGAAAGACGTGCTGCTATTTGTGAGCTTCATGTTATACCACAGCTGTCGAAGTTAAACCGAGTTGCTGCGTTTTGTTATTGCGTCAACAAGACTCCAGCTTAACCATAGCAACATGTCAGAGTCACGCCACCCCTGCAGACAGAGTGGGACAATCTCAAAATAATGCAGTTCGTGGGGTTACGGTTCCTCGTTGTGGTCTATAGTAAATGGTGTTAAGTGTTGCCGCGAGAAGTGGAAGTGCAATAAATTAAGGCATTAATTTTTCCAGAAGCTGTGATAATAATCTGTGATAACGTAAAAACTTTTGGGGGAAAGAAAAGAAAAACAAGTGTATTTGTGGAAGCTCAAGAACAGTCTGTTGGATCTGGCTGCACCTCAGAAGAGCTGCAGGAAGAACAAAGAGTCCGAATACTTAGCTGTACTGTTATGGCTCATTTAAAGGCAACAGTTTCAGGGAAAAGAGGATCAAATAGTCATTTAACGTGGAGAATTGGAGTGTAGTGATGGAAATACATCGGCTGTGCTCCAATAGTTTGGAATGTGGCCCCAGTTAGTGATTTAATAGTAATGATTTTCCAAACATTGCATTTTAAAGAAGAATATAACGTTCAACTTAGCATGACCACAGCAGGTGGTGCTTTTTGAGTAAATGCTTGACTGCACAACCCTTTCAGCGTTTTTTTCTCTCCCTGTTTCAAGCTTGTCTGAATTAATCTGGTTAAACATGATTGACGTGTTTGCCTTCCTCTTTGTCTCCCATCATCAGCACCCTGTCCAGCTGCATGCATGCTGTGGTGGCGCTCCTCTACCCCTTCTCCTGGCAACACACCTTCATCCCGGTGCTGCCAGGGTCCATGCTGGATATCGTCTGCTGTCCCACTCCGTTCCTGGTGGGGCTGCTCTCCAGTTCGATGCCTAAACTCAAAGAGCTGCCTGTAGAAGAGGTGAGTACATTATATTTACACCATGAATTTTTCAATTTTCATGTTGATGTCAGCAATGTGTAAATGTTGCTGCGTAGAGTCCTGAATGTAAGGGATTTGGATGACAAGCTAAAACAGTACAGATTCACAGTAATTTCATTATGACCTGGCAACTTTGGCTGTTTCTCTTTCTGCCTCCGTTTTTATTATACTAGGGAACTAGCCAGGTGACGTCCAAATGATTAAAAAAAAAGGAAAACTGAGGTCTAATTTTTAGATTGCAACTTTCAGACCTTATTAAACAACGTTGTGTACCTGCTTCTCAAGTATGAATACTTTTTTTGACTTAAAATGAGTATTTTGGGGTTTTTGGGCATCTACCAGCTGAGCGAGATGTGCACTCCAGCCGGGGTAAATTAGTTGATCAGTAAAAATAATGGTTACAGTTTTTAGAACAAGTCTTTCTACAAAACAGAATCTTGGTGAAGTGAAGTGTGGCAAGACTTTACTACACTGGTCTGTATCACACATGGCTCAATGTGGATGGACGGATGGCATCTGTGCTCTCCATCTGATTCTTTCTTTCGTATAAAATAAATATTTTGGCAGTAGAAGCCGTGTGAAATGAAATGGCCATTAGTTTGTTACAAAAGTGTTACTACACCCAGTTTTTTCCCAGCATTGGCCGCATTAATGTATCAAACTGAGAAGCGACCGTGTTAATCAGAGTTAAGACCGACCCAATAACGAGTTGTTCGCGATACCAGAAACCTGTTTCTGTCACTCTTCCAGTTTGTGATTCATTTATTGTGACATTTGTATGTTTACATCTAACATTATGCTGTAGCATGTAGCTTTGACCATTTTATGCAGAGTGGACTTTAAAGTTAAATAATTCATCACAGAGTTCTCATGTGTGCTAATCAAATAATGATATCCTCCTTTTCTCTTTTTTAGGCTTTAATGGTCGACCTGGGAACTGACCGCTTCATTAGACAGGTTGGTCTATGCATTTAAAAAGAAAAATATTAGCATGAGCAGTGACCACTGTGCCCCAAGTGGTAATGTAAAGATAATGGCAAATTTCCTTTAACACCCTACATGTTCTTCAGTCGTTTGCTCAAAAACATTAATTGGCATTTCTTATTTCTGGAACAATATATTAATAAGTAAAAGCAGCTTTAATTGTGACTTAACTCAGAAAAATTCAACAATTATAATAAAAGTTCAAAACTCAGGATAGGAATGTAATGACTAGATGAAGTAATGAAGCACACAGAGGTAATCTGTCCCAAGAAAAAAGCCAATAATGCATAGGTGAACTACATCAGACAACAATGAGGGTGGGAAAAGAACAAAGGCAGGAAGTAAAAATATAGCCACATTAGGAAGAAAAAAAGCAACAAAATAACACAGGAAGTGACGGAAAGAGAGACATAGAACACACCTTCCTAGGCAAACAGGAAGACAGAGAGGAATGCAGAAAGCAGGACAACAGTAAAGAAATAGAGAAAAAAAAACTAAGAGGAACCGCAGAGATCATTCCTGGGTATCCTGGTTTTCTGTGGCAACACGTAATTGTGGTGTAACATCTGTCACAGCAAAATGTCTCAATAATGTGCATTACAAAGCAGTAACTAACTAAAGTTAGCAGAAAAGAGCTATCATGAGTAAGGGACAAAAACAAACAAACCAAAAAAACCCAAAAATTAGACAGTCATGCTCGTAAAAGGTTGCAGAGCATCGTCTCCACGCCACTGTTGTTCATCTGTAGTAACTGCAGCACTTGCAACTGTCTGTAGATGGATGACGAGGCATCGCTGTTGCCGCGGAAACTTCAAGCAGCTCTCGAGCAAGCGCTGGAGCAGAGGAATGACATCATCACTCAGGACTCTGACAGCGAGTCAGACGAAGGTGAATAAGCGACTGAACATCTCTCGGTAACGCGGCAGATGTTCTTCTTGTTAATTAGGGCGACAGGGAGCGCGGTCTACAAGTCTGTGAAACTGGCTGGGAAATGACGTCTTCTGTTCTGCTGACAGTGAGTCATGAAAGGCTCATCTTTGAGATGAGCTAATGCTGTTTCTGGTGGTAGTAGTGTACATTTCAAGCTGACTGGAGCATAAGTGCAGTTGTTTTTAATGTGTCAATGTCTCTATGTGTAGCTCCCATGTGCCCTCGCAGTCAGGATTCCCGGTTTTCACTCAGGAGGCTTTTATCAAGGAGTCATGAATGGCTTACCTGTAATGGGCTGTCACAACATGCTTTACGGCACAGAAACAAAGAGAATTTTGACATAATAAGGCCAAATCATTTGTGTGTTTTTAAAGGCTACTTCAGACAGTCTTATCTCTGCTTTCCAAATTCCCCTCCAAGCCCAACAGCTAACACTCTGTGTGGTTATGTTACATGTGCCAAGTGCCACTCATAACCAGTTCTCACTAGTCCAGAAAGCCAACACACTTGTGCAACCCACAGTATAGCCTCATTGGACTGTAGGTGAAGGGAAAAATTAAACTACAACAATTAGCTTTCTTGTGCTAATATTAGTGGAAAGTAATAAAAAACAGTAACAACATGAGTAATCAAGAGAAGAAATAAGTAAAAAATATTGATCTGTGGTAAACTACCCTTGAATGACAGTTGTAGCTCTGGGTGCTCTGATGGGAAGGATTTCAGGTTTTTCCTGCAGTGTCATTGTGCTTCACCTGACATCTTCTGACATAGGATAAGCACAAAGCTGTCACATCATTATTGTTATGTCTCAATTTTGTCGTTAACATGACTAAGGTTTGGTCTTTATTCAACAACTTTACTTTGCAAGCACAGCAAAATTCTTGAACTTCAAGGTTTAACAAAAGCTGTGGGCATATTTTATCGATTAACGCCTTCGTTTTTATCCCCCGCAGAGTATAACTCGCTGAACAGCCTGGTGTCGGAGGCGTTCATCCGCTTCTTCCTGGAGACTATTGGACATTACTCCCTGTTTATCACTCAGAATGAGCGTGGGGAGCGCATTTTCCAAAGAGAGGCCTTCCGCAAATCAGTGGCATCCAAGAGCATCCGACGTTTCCTGGGAGTCTTCATGGAGTCTCAGATGTTTGCAGGGTTCATCCAAGACCGGGAGCTCAGAAAGACACGAGCTAAAGGTAGACTGTTGTTCTCTGAGTGTCAGCTGGGTCTATGAATGCTCTTTCTTCCTTAAAACATTTCATGAGAAAGCTGTTTGCTTTTCTTTGTGCATTTCCACCCCTGCATTCCAAGTGCTCTCTGTGCAGAAGAAAGCATTGCACTTACACTGACCTCTAGTGGCTGAAAGTTTTTCAACAGCATGCTTTCTCACTGAATCACAGCAGCTCCCTGAAGCATTGATGTTTCATATTCTCGTTCTTTACCCTTCCTTTTTCTTTTTTTAAAAGAAAAATCTCTGCTGTTGTGTTGACAGGTCTGTTTGAGCAGCGGGTAGATCAATATTTGGAGGAGCTGCCAGACACAGAGCAGAGTGGAGTCAACAAGTTCCTCAGAGGCCTTGGTGAGTTCAGAAGCAGACATATTTTAGGAGCTGGAAAGTTATAAACAGAAATATCAAATATTTATTCTGCATATGCTAATATCATCTGAACAGGCAGAGCTACGCAGCAGCTTTTACCAAACCTCTGCACAGTTTCACTCTCACTTTATTTTTTATTGTAAATATCTCACATGGCACGAGCTAGCTGTGATAGGCTTCACCAATAAGAACTTAAACATGGATGTTTGCCAGAAATCAGATTTTTTTTTATACTGAATATTCGTGGCTTCGTTTTACACCACTTAATAGATTCATGTATTTTGTTTCCAGGAAGTAAAATGAAGTTTCTCCACAAAAAGAACTGAGGAGACGACCTGATCTTTCAAGTCTCTGCGTCAAGACGACTCCCATTTTCATCCTTTGTTTTGTTTTAAATGTTCTAAAAGCATGTACATATTATTTCACTGTAAGCTGTGATACTCTTCAGCCTATGTTTATAGTATGAGATAGCAATAGCAGGACGGTACACAGCATGTGAGTCGTAGAGTAACCACTGATGTCTAGTCGTGCTTGTGAAGAGTGTTATCGGAGTTTGTGAGTGTATGTGACTTGCAGGTGGGCGTAGATGTGCAGATATGTTTTCCTTTTTGCATTATTTTACGACAGTGTTTTTCTCTGTTTGACCTAAAGCTTATTCAAAAACTGTACATGCAATACAATGAAGAAGATGCTTTGAACTCTTCCTGGAGATTTTTACAGTCTTTTATTAAAAGTGATCATTAAAATTGTTTCAGTGCCCAAGTGTAAGCATTGAACTTAAACTTTATTCTATTCTTTATTCTTTAACCTTATTAAACTGTATTCGTTCATTATCAAAACAAGGCCCAAAGCAGTACAGACTTCCCAGTCAGACATAGACATATATTTCACATTTTGCCTGATGATGAAAACTCACCTCCTTTTATCGCTGACATCTCAATGACAGCCGCTCCCAAAGCTGTGCATTAGGTTGGGAAGATCCCAAAAGGCGCAGTAGTCTAACACCGGCTACCACATGCTGCTGGTAACCTAATTACGTCTGTGCACATCACTCCGGTGGCTGTCGCTGCCACGCTGTTATTAGCTCTCCTAACTGAGCGGCTCGCTGTTGATTCCAGGTGCCGTGGTGCTTTTCTCCTGCCAGTGTCTTTATCGCAGTTAAGAGTGACATTTGATGTGAAGTGGTCGTGCAGAGACTTTCGGATAAAGAGCTGGCCATGAAAGAATTTTTTTGCTTGAGCAAAAGTTGTGAAATCAAGTTATAATAACAGTGAACCTACAATTATGCTTTCAGAATGTAGTAAATACGCACAAGTACTAGTATTTAATATTTTACTGTGGAATATTATCATTCATAGATGTAATAACTGGGAGTTTTAAAATCCCCCAGTCCAGCTGACATTACAACGTCTTACCACTTTAACTTCCTGTGACCTGAGATTGTATTTTGATTTCTTCTAGTTATTTGTGATTAGAACCTGTGTTTACCATGTAAACCAAACTTCCTCTTTGAACAGGAAGTTTACGTAAAAAGAAAAAAGAAGAAGTATCTCCTCATATGAGGATATTGGTTTTCTTTTACAGCGTAGCACAATAAAGTCAAAGCTGCTTAACACAGCATGCAACACTTAATAAACAGAATGAAACCCAAAATATCTTCATGTAACGACACGGTGTCAGGAAGTTAAATGTTGCAGCTGAATCCAACTCTTAGGTTGGTGGCTCTGTTATTTAAACATTTTTATTTTTAAACAGATTTTTCCTAATATTCATCTGAAATATGTCTAGGAAAAAAGTAAAAGGTGCAATAATTTCCTTTAAAATTGATTGCAGCTACAGACATACTCAAAAAAGGATCTAATTTAAAAATTAAGTAAAAGTATAAGGTCCTAAAACCACCAACATGCTGCTAAAATTATGGCTGTACTTTAACTTGTGGACACCAAGGATATGTGCTGCTACATTGCCCACAGCAGCAGGGCAAATGGGGTAAACTGGCCAAGTGGCTGCAATAAAACTGGTCCTGCAGATTATAGTATCAATAATTCAAGACCAGGAAAGGATGAGTGTGTAGAGTGATGCCTTAAATTGGGAATATATACCTGCTACTTCTTTAAGCTGTCTAAGAAAATGTTTTAATATTCTATTTGTGACCATTATGAACGACGGCTTCACTCGCTTGACTGATTTAAAAAAGAAATATTTGAATGTTTTCACTGCTTTAATAATAAAGTATTCCATATCTTTATTTTATTTTAACTAGATGACTTTTAAAGTCATACATGTTACTGATGTTGATGTTTGATTTGAGTGTTGAGATTTTAAATGAACCATTCACATGTCCGCTGAATTTCTGTACATCTAGTCAGGCACTAAAGCCATCTATGATTTTCAGATGCTTGCTTGATTTTAAAACGCTATCATGTTTTATTATGATAATGCACAACACTTAAAAAAACATAATTACAAAACGCTTCAGAGACCAAACACAATTAAACTATGAATTTCAGCTAATCTCCGAAATTTAACAGCTGAAATGATGCTGCAGTAATAACTCGGCGATAAAATGCGTAATATTTTATCACTATCGGACTTTTTTTTTTTTACTCAGAAATTGATACATGATTCCCATTTTCAGAAAAATGTGGAGTTTTAAATTTTGGTCACGTTGTTGATTTGTTTGTAATTTTGTAATTACGTGTATTTTGCATTTAAGTTTCGAAAGGTTTTACACGTTAATATTTTGTATCGCTCAGTGACGGTAGGCTCTAATTGTAAACTTGCAGTCTTCTCGCCAAGTGTCACACTTCAGCCTTGAGAAACGTCAGAAGTATTGCAGGACTATAAAATCTCACGATTAACTGCGAGACTTGGAATCTCCAAAATTTTGTCCGGGCCAAAGAGCGACATCCGAAGGGGGGGATCAACACTCGGAGATGCTCGGGTCAAGGTAAAAGAAAAAAAAAAAAAGAAAGGAAAAACTCTCTTTGTGCAGACGCGGGGCACAAGATGTGATGGTCAGGCTGACAGAAGCGGAGTTTCTCGGCAGACAGTCTCGTTTCCTCCGGACCAAAAACAACACTGTGACATCCTCACACGCGCGCACACTCATGTTTACCTGACAGGATGTTTTGCACGAGCCGTGCGCTTCGTGAGGGGATTTAATTTGTACACAGGCACAGTTTGTAGATGCTTAGTGGTGGAAAGTATCCGTGTGCGGACTTTGTGTTTGCTTGCTGTCCTTCTCTGTGTTGTGGATTGCACCATGATGCCATGATAGGGGCGGAATCTCATGCGCACTTTCTAAAAAATAATATCACGCTCAGTGATGCGCTGGCTGCTGATGCAGAGGCAGGCTGTGGATGAAGGGGCAGGTACTCTGCGATGTCTCTGACGTGCTTGTTGTTGTTATTTGAAGAAGCTTTAATAAGGTGCTGACAGCACATCCATAAACAGATGGAACAGGTAGCCGAACGCGTAATACGCCAGAAGGAAAATCACAGGAAATCCCGAATTCCCACAGCCTTATGCAGTGGGCTAATACAAACACATTACTGTTCACACTTAATGTAAGTTTCCCACAAGGGTTGGGTGCTATTCAGATACGGATGTGCTGTTTTACATTGTTTACAGTTCAGTCATAATGTAACCTAAACACTAAACAGGTATTCATTGCAATAATTTGATGAACTTGTATTTATTATTAAGCTAAAACTATTTTTTTAACGCCTCGATAAAATAAAAAGGGTAAAAAATTGATTCTTTCACAATTATACATCCCATGATTTAGTGGTGTGCAGAAACTTTTTGTTTGTTTAGTTTGTGACATGTCCTGTGACTTGACTCACATAAAATAACTTCTGCACGGCTCTGGATTTCATATAGGCCAATTTCGTTTTAGAGACCACCCGCTGTGATGAACTTCATGATATGTTTTTCCTCTTATTTATTGCTTGAATTGAGTTCCTTATTCTGTAAGTTTTGCTATGAATATTATATTAATATTATACTTTTTTCAGTGAAGTTTAATTTCAAATGTTTTCTTTTGCTTCAATGTAAAGAAATGTAGTTTAATGTAAATCCAAATTAGCATTTGACTACTACACCCACTTAGTGTAACTTTTTTTTAAGAAGCCTGCTAGAGGACCGCAGCTCCCAGCATCCCTAGTGCTGCAGAGTAGCTGCAGCACCCTGTTAGTTAACAAATTTTAATAAAATATTAATTTATGTTTTGCATATATATTATTATATATTAATGTTGTAGCATGTACTACTATAAATGAAATGCAGTGGTTAACATATTGTGCTGTGCAAAATTCTCGAGCTACCCTTCATTTCTTTATATTTTGGTAGGAAAATGGGAAATAGGTGCAATGATTTATTGAAACACATGCAAAAAAAAAGCAAAAAACTGAGATGTTACAATTTCAACAAGCTTGAAAGTCAATATTTGGCATGACCACCTTCCTTTTTCAACACAGTCTGAACTCTCTTAGGGACAATTTCTTGTAATTTAGTGTAATTACAATTCCTTTAGTGTTCAGGATTAGTTTTCCAGGTTTCATAAGGATTGAAGATTCAAAGCTTCTCTTTGGATGTTGGCTGCCTTTTGTTTCATTCTCTGTCAAGATGATCTCACACTGCTTCAAAAATGTTGAGGCCCGGGCTCTGGGGAGGCCAGTCCATGACTGACAATGTTCAGTCGTATGTTTTTCTATCCAGGTATGCTCTTACTGCATTCAAAGGGTTTGCTTTTTTGGACCATTGTCATCCTGAGCTACGAAGCTGTTGCCAATCAGATGGTACTGCATGGTGGTTTAAAATCTGATGGTACTTTTCTGCATTCATAATCCCATCAAATCTGACAGAGCCTTCATTGTGTTTTACAGATGGCTGTAGACACTCACTGTAGTAAGTCTCTCTTGATCTCCACTATGCCTATTGACAATATTTAGACTATAAATTTCAAATTTCATCACTCCATAAGACCTGTTGCCACTGATTTTCAGCACAGTTTTGTATAATTTGGTATACCTCATTCATTTCTCCCTGTTTTCCTTTCTTAAAAATGACATGCTTCTACTGAGCTCATTTCTGATGAGGCTTTGCTGTGCTGGATATTTTCCTGTTTCTTAAGGACATGACTTTCTGATACTGTTCATCTGCTGTAGATTTTATAGTTTTTGCCAATTTTTCGGCTAATAGCTGTTTGAGAATCACCTTGTTGGTTCTTTGCTAAGTTGCCTGTTATGTAAACACAACACAGGTTCACCCCTTGAGGGGTGGTTCAGGAGTTTTGCACAGAACACTTAATTACAGACTACCCGTAATATCAACAGTATTGCCAGTGTAATGACGAACTGGGAATTTTCACTGTGCAGCTTTATGAGTCTTTTGCTAGTTCAGTGTTTTTGGATTTATGGCTTACATGCTGAGGGTGAACTGATGTCAGTAATATTACATTTGAAAATTAAATTGTGTTGTTGGCATATGTGGAAAGTAGTAGGGGTGGGGGAAAAATCGATACTGTGTAGTATCGTGATATTTTGTTTGCTAATAATGTATCGATACAGGGACAGCAGAAATCGATATTTTGTTACAAAAAAAGTTTTTGTGCTCTGACTTCAGAGCATGTTGATCCT